TTTGCGTAACAGTCTCTTCACTTGTCTAGTGCAAACATTTGAAAGGTGTGGCGGGTGGCCTTGAAAGATGCAAACAAGGGCTCTACATGGCTCTACCAAGATGGCTTGTCAGGCTGCAGGGTTGTGCTTTGCCGAAACTATTTGCCCGCAGCTGATTTGATACCAAAGACTTGAGGTTTAGGGCTGAATAAGGCAGTCTACACTTTGCATTGCGGCAATAATGCTGATACTTTGAAACAATGCCCGGCGAACTGAAGGTGTCGTTCTGGAACAAACGCGAAAAAAGCGATCATCAGACATGCCGCGCATGCCTCACAAATGTCAAAGCCGAAGCGTCCCTTTCTAAGCAGATTCAAACAGATATATTATCGAAGGAAGTCTAGAAGTCAAACTTCCGACAATATGGACAGATGAAAAGCAGAGATGGGAAGAGTCAGAGAAGAGAAGGGAAGAAGAAAGAAGATCAAAAAAGAGAAAGTCTCAGAAGAAAGAAGATCCAGATGCGCGAAAAGGTGGGAAAGTTGCGAAACAAAGGTGGGAAAGTTGCGAAACACTGTGTTTTTTCTGATGATTTGTGGGTTCGGAGGGTCGAAAAGTAGGCTCGCTAAAGCGGCGGGTGCGGAGCCAGCTGGCCAGATGAGAGATGAACAATTGCACGCCGTTGTGGCGCGAAGCACATGTCCAAGTCAAAATGTACAAAACCCACCAACTTCGGACCACTTTTGGAAGTTGAGATGTCGAAAAAGTGCACGCCGTTGTGGTGCGAAGCACATTTCGAAGTCAAAAGTGTAAGAACTGACGGGTTCGGAGCACTTTTTGACGTTCAGATGTCGTTTTGCGTGGCATTCTGCACGTTGCCAAAAGTGAGCAAAACGTGATGGTTTTGTAGCAGACTACAACCACTACACTACACTACACGACAACTACAACAACACTTACAACATTCCATCACACTACACTACAACTACACTACACGGTCCACCGCGCGTAATCGGCCGTGGTGTAAAATAGGATTTTCAATGATTCAATGTTGTTTGAATCACGCAATTACACTGCGTTTTATGGACAGCCTTTGATTTCACATGTTTCATGCGTAGTTCCATTGGGGAAAATATTGTCATTATAGAAACCAGTTTAACTGCGAGCAAAATATTGTATTTTTTTGCCCGCAACTAAGGAGTCCATTCATCTTTTGTGAATCATCGCCATCACCGCCATCACCGTCTTCACCATCTTCATCATCATCGACATCATCACCATCATCATCATCATCATTATCATCATCATCACCATCATCATCATCATCATCATCTTTTTCTTACACCATGTTCGGTATGTAGGGCCAATGGGGACCATCCGTGCGCACCTTCACTTTTTCCATTGGCGCTGAATTCGACTTCAGCAGTCTGCGGAGTTGAGACATAAATCCTTGAGGGTTCAAAGGTAAGACGCTTTGTCTAAAGACAACACAAAATGCTGTAAAAACCGTTCTAGGAAGAAAAGTTCACAACGTAGCATCAAGAGCGTGTAAAGGTCTAAGAAGGTTCACAACGTAGCATCAAGAGCGTGTAAAGGTCTACGAAGAAAGTTCACAACGTAGCATCAACACAACGGAGTCAAGTAGAACGCACACGAAAGAACGTTATTTCCCCCCCGAAACCCACCCCCCCAAAAAAAAACACAAGAACAAAAAAACAAGAAATAGGAGAAAAAAAAGCTTGAAAAACGGACCGTAGGCACAGCGAGAACAACACAAAATGCTGTAAAAACCAATACAAAGAGACCAAACAACAAGAAGAACGCCACGGCCTTCTATGAGCGGTGGGCCCACTACGCTCCACTACACTCCACTACACCGCCCTACACTACATTCAATTACACTACACTACACTACACTACGTTACACTACATTCCACTACAGCACTACATTACACTCCACTACACTACAACTACACTACACTACGCTACATTTCACTACACTACATTACACTACACTACACTCCACTACACGCCACTACACTCCACTACACTACACTCAATCACACTACATTGCACTACACTACACTATACAACATTCCACCACACTACTACATTACACCACACCACACTACACTACACTACACTAATTACAACATATTACAATTACAACTACAGCTACAACTACACTACACGAACTACAGCCACATCTACAACTACAACTATACTACATTACACTACGCTTCACTACACTACACTAATTACACTACACTACACTCCACCACACTCCACCACACTGAATGACACTACACGACACCTACAACTACAACTATAACTGCAACTGCAACTACACTACATTACATTACTCTACACTAATTACATTGCACTACACTAATTAAATTTCACTACAGTACGCTACATTACACTACATTACACTACACTACAGCTACAACTACAACTACATAAGATTACGCTAGATTACACCAATTACATTTATACTACGCTACAATACACCGCACCACGTGACACTACACTACACTAACTACAACTACACTAACTACAACTACACTAGCTACAACTACAACTACAACTACAGCCGCACTACACCACACTACATCCAGCAGTTGTGGGTGAGGTGACCGACCAGGTGATCACTGCAACCAGTAGAGCCACTCCAAAAAACGCAACTCCAACCACCTTTCCGTCCCTCAATGGATTCGCTCTGCCATCCATGATACAGATGAAAGAAATCAATCAGAATCAATCGGTTCAGTTTTCCGAGGGCTGCCGGTGCTGTTCTGGAACAACTGCGAAATTATTTGTCATCGAGACATGCCTCACAAGTATTCTTAAGTCTTATCTATCACCATTCGTTAATTCTACCGGGTCTGACATTTTTGGACGCCTTTTGAAAGGTCATGCAATATGGTAGCTCCTTGGATGGTTTGACTGTCCCAAGCAAAGGCTACTCAGCTCATTTTGGGGCAGGCCATGGACATATTCCTTCGAACACATGAAAAAGTTGATCCTATGGATCCTATGGGTGGTCATCGACATAGCAAAGCCTGCCAGCGGCGATCTTGCACATGGACCAGCCGTGACAGCAGTATGCCTTGGGGGGGTCATGAAACGAGGTGATACTGTGGTTGACAATGTGGATTCTGCCGAAGGCAAATTTCAAGGGTCTGCCGAAGGCAAATTTCAAGGGTACTATAAGTTTGAATTGCTGGACAGATTTGTGTTTGAAGTCTTGAATGCAGACGCGTTTTTCTACGTAACTGCACCACACAAGTATGTGGCCTCAGATCGTCTCAAAAAGTATATAGCAACTTCAGATCGAGTGCGCGCTTTTCAGTTGGATAATCGGTCGCACCCTCTTGCATTTGCTGAACGCTTACGTCGTGGACACAGAAACAAGACGTTCCTGCCATATCTAGTACAAGGTCGTTCACCTGGGTCTCCCTTCAAGAATCAATACTTGAACGAACAGTGGGCAGAATGCATGCATGCTGTTCGGGCTGCCGAACAGACAAGAGGTTTTGAGTACACCTACGTAGCCTTTGCGCGTATTGATCTTGCATGGCAAGCTTACCACCCCAGCTTACAGATGCTAGAAGCCACAAAATGTGAGAATTCCACGACTGTTTGGGCTGTGGCTGAAGATGATTATGGTGGGGTCATGGACAAATACTTCATCATGGAAAGACCTGGTGCTGCTATAATTGAAAGCTTTGCTGACGTCTTAAACTCTTTCGATAAGTTGGAAGCCGTTTATCGCATTGTGAGAGCGCAGACTTCTGTATCTGCTTCTTTGCCCTGGAACTACGAACGTTTCTTGCTACACACTCTACGAGCTGCCGGGCGGTGCATCCGCTACATGTTGCCAGTTGTCGGTCACAGGCTCAGGCGGCTTTCAGTGGCTTTTGGAGACATTTTGCATGAGGGCGGCACATGGGAGGTTACACCTGCCGATCCCTACCTGAAGATGGGCTGGTGTCGATATCTTCCCAAATATTGTTGTGGTGGAAGGAGAGAAGATTTTGGTGGTAACCTCTCGTGTTTGCACCACTTGTGGAGGTCTCACGGACGTTGTAGACGCAACCGAGCTTTGGTGCAAGTGCCACGGTTCCCGGGGGAGTTTGTGGGGGTTTGGGGTTCCAGATTGAATCGGATAGAAACTGCAACTTCTGAGAAGTGCCGTCTTCCAACGGAACAACTCCGCGCGTGTTGCCACCAACCACACGTCCACCTCACCCTTCGGCCCTCCAAACAAACAATCCAAAAATGGTCTACGTCTCCTGATGATGTGGATCCAGAGATAGCTCCAACGCATGAATCGAGGTGGCATTGTTTATCCGAGGTTCCCAATTGGATTGCCGACAACAGAAAGAAACCATGGAATCTCATTGGCGCAGCGCACTGCTATGACTTGAATTTGCTTTGACTCACGATCACAGTCGAAGCCGAAGCTGTAGCTGTACAAGTTGAACAAGCTCGCCATGATTGACTCAGAATATCTCAGAATCATTCACCATGATTCACCATGCAATTCCATGTATTCCATGTCGCAAGCCGAATGGCAAAAGGGGCCATTTGGAGCAGCTGCTCGGGCTTGTCCTCTTCGATTGTTCCATATCAGTTCAGACATGTTCAGACCAAGCCCTTTTGTTTCCACATGTCATGAATTCTTGTTGTTTCAGGGTTGTGGAGTCTGCGTATTGCCAACAGGTTGAGGCTCAAGATGTTGTTTAAACAACATGCAAGTCGACGGGAAATGGATCGGGAACATTCCGGAACTCTATTTCTATTGATTTCAGCTGATCTTAGCAAATTGAAGAATCTGCTCCTCGCAGCATTCTGCTGGGTGATAGCTTGCTTTGTGTCCTCTCTTCAAAACACCAGAACAGCACAGAAGCGCTTTGGTCCCTGCAGTTGAAAGCAATATTTTTCAATATTGGCCTATACAATCAATCAAGCATACATGCAATAACAACAGCCACGCATCAATCATGCAATCAGCTCAGAAATCCCTGCCTTCCGTCACGAATTCGGATTGCGGGCCACTTCTCGGTCCTGTCCTGTGATGATCTTACCGGATCCGTTTCCAGAGCCAGACATTACTCGAATGCGATGGAATGCGATGAAACTTTCCATGGAACTCTTGAGATCTCTTGAGATGTTCAATGTCAAACTGAGGATTGCATAATTCATGATGCCGGTGCCAGGCCAGAGCGGGTGATACAGTGATACTTGGAAAAGTTCTGGCATGTGATGCCCGTTGAACATGCACTGGCAAAACCATTCACAGACAAGCACGCTCAAAGAGCATTCAAGGGCGCTAATGGTTTGAGAGTATGCATCTGGAAAATCACATGCCCTCAGGTAGTAGAGCACAACAAGAACGTCTAACGACTTCAATCAACTTGACAATGACCATGCTCGCAACATGTTTTTTGCAATTTCATGTTGTTGTACACGGACCGGAGCACTGAGAACATACGCTCAGTTTCTTGAGGCATTCTAGATGCTGCCGGAATCTGCCGGATCCGTGTCAAAGATGTTCAGTATCCATATATGCAAACCCTGCATTCAGTTTCCGAGGTCAAAAATTGACATCAATTATGACATGTTCCGAGAACTCCTCCACATGATACGAACTAATTAGCACGATAGTTGATAGTTACCACAACATCCACAACCATGCAATGATGCGAATTGCAGGTCAGAAAGTTGTCGTGGCTTGGAGCCCTGGGGCTTTCACACTATCTACGAGCCGCATTTCGAAGATGAGAAGTGTTTCTTTGTACTGTGGTTTTCTACCTAAATGGACAACATGTTCGATTCTGCTCGATGATCTCTGTTTTGGATGAAACTGTGGCTGAAGGTCAGTGCATCTGGGGTCTCTGGTTGGCCCAGGGCGGTCAGTCCACCAGTGAGGCACGCAGCGCCTGAAAAAGATCCACACAACACACGTAACAGTCGTAACACAGAGCAGCAAATCCAATCTGATCAATCTGATCCCAGCGAATCCAAGAGATAAAGTGCATTTAGTTAGAACATATTAGAACCGATCTGTGTCCTTTCAAGTTGCCAGTATCACTTGCTGACTTCATGATGCCAGAAGAAGGTAGAATCCAGGTAGAATTGGCTTGCAACCCCTCTAAGAGTTCGAGGATTGTCAAGATGGTTGTGAAGCTGCTGACCCAAATTGACAGCACAGCAGCTGTAAGCAGCTGGAAGCAGCTGCAATCAGCAGTGTGGGGAGGGCTCTTTGCGTTGCCTGCAAGGCTTCAGAGCCCACCCCGGCAGTCACAGGCATGGTCTGATATATTCGCGGCGTTCTTTCCTTGCGCTAATATAGACAATTTCAAGCTGTTCTTGCTTAATTCATGGTAAAGGTAAGCTCGGAAAGAACAGGACCTATGGCCTATTATAATTGTTTGTAGTTTTCCTCTTTTTCGTGGCACCCAAAGATCTTCAGGTATTTCAGGTGCATGTATATAGTGTTCGTTCATGATTGCTTGCCTTTTATATAAATATAACAATATCATATCATTTCATCTTGTATCATATTGATTATGTTAAATTAAACTATATTCTGTTCCATTCATTCTTTTCTATTATATTCTATTTCACTTTATAATAGTATATTTATTATATTTAATTGCATTGTACAGTTATATTACATTATAGCACATTATATTATAGTTTACTTTATTCATTGCATTGTCTTGTATAATTGAAAACATGATATAATATACTATACAATACATATATATATATGTTGCTGCTTTCTGTCAGCTCGGCAATTTGGAGACTTTGAGGCAAGATATGTATCTTCCCGTGCAACGCCAGGAGCACGGACATGACCTAGAAACACTTGAGACGCACGAGTTTGTGATAAAGTTTGTGCGCTCCATGTTCTGCACAGCGCAAAGCTCTGAAATAGTTGGGCGATAAGGTCCGAATCTGTCCGAGGCCAAGCAGATGTTGCAGGACATGCTGTTGCTGGATCTTTCTTCTTTGAAACCTTTGTAACTCATTTGCAGCTGATCTTTTTCTGTCATTGTTGCAGTTGCCCGGCCCCAGATTGGCATGATACTGCGCAGCACATGGCAGCAGTCGCCAAAAGGCCTGCCCAGTGAGGCTTGGGGCGGCGCAAGGTCCAGATCATCTTCGCCTCAGGCGTGGCGCAGACTGCGGAGTACTGGTCAGCACCGATCAACGATCATTCGAACCAGGAACAGAATTTGAATGAACGCAAATTAAATCAAAATTCATCAAGCCTATTTGAACAAATGTCAACGGTGGTCCTTTTGAAACAGTAATTTTCTCTTTGAACCCAGGCTGTGTTAGCCCAAGCATTGAGAGATAGCCTGACCGTCTTTATCTACAAGAGTCGGATGTAGAGTTCCTATATCATGTCGCGAGCACCTCAAGCAACAAGGGCAGAAGTAATGCGGCCAAGTGCTATTTCCATCTATTTCATTCGATTTCGGCATCACTATCCTTAAGATTTTGAGAGTTATGGTGAGCTATGAGAAGATCCGAGGTGCGTCGCATACAATCTGAAGCTAGCTGGAGAAGTGTGTCAGAGTGCTGTAATTTCCGTCACTGAGCCTAGGCGCCGGTCTTTATCGCGCATACTCATCCAGGTGTTTGTAGTCTGAAACCCAAGAAAAGCGATGAAGACAATGGAAACTTAGATTGAAACAGTAGTATATTGAAACTATTTGAAACTCAGATTGTTGAATATATTGAATCCATGATGAATTGAGACTCTGTGTGCTCAGCTTTAGCTGTTTTCATTCATCCTGGTCTCGTCCAAGGCACACCCTGCCCTGTCACAGCCTACGCTCCAAATTGGTGCTGGAAACTCAAAAACATCCGAAGACTTTCCAAGCCCAGGGCATGTGACAACCAGTGTAGGTTTAGAATTGTTATAGTTTGATCAGCAGAAATGCCAAGGCATGTTTTGTATCATGTCGTATCATTCGTCACGTATCATTGTATCATACTGTAATATCATGTATGCCATTTTTGCATGGAGATTGTATTTGGCGGGGTCTCAAAACGGGGCACTTCACAAGGATCCATTTTTTCAAGGCACTTCCATGTCTATGTAGGATCATAATGGTTTACATGATATATGGTATTGTGCACGCATGGATAGTATGTACTTGTAGTACTCATAGACATAGTACACATCCACATACAGTTTGCATTTATACATCATGTACCTCGTTTGCATGTATGTGAAAAATGTCCCCCACATGCACAATCCTTGAACATGTCCTACAACAGTCCTGAGATCCAGTTTGATTTAAACAATAGCGGAGTTTGCCATTTTGCGATGTTAAGCCAACGTTCGCCCACTAAAAGGCTGCATGATCTATATGCAAGGATGATAAGGATGCTTCTCCATTGGTGAAACTTTTTGCTGAGAAGCTCACTGCTCAGGCAAGGGGTGCTCAGGCGAGAAGGGTGGTGACTTTCTGAAACGTTTGACAACGCATTCGATGTCACCCGATTTGTTTGCAAGTGTTGACTCTGGAGGTAATGAGAATATGATTTGAAACACAGCGATGAAATCTGATGAAATTAAATTAATTCTATTAATGCACATATCCCAATGCAAATAATGCTACATTAATGTCCATGACTATGGGCTGGGTTTCCTGTGTAAAGCTCTTGACGTTGCAGGTGGATTTACTGCCGTGGCCTCACCACGGGTTGTGGTCAGCCCACGTGGCCTGCCCACACGGCAGCCAATACAGGCACGGAATTTCACAAATATTTTTTTTTCACGGCACGGTTCCGACACCGGCATTGCAGATCATGGGTTACCGGATTACCGATTTAGATGATTCCACATGTTTACAGTACACATGTTGTCAGTGGATGTCAAATAGGTGCCCTTTCAGGGACGAGCGGTCTACGCTGGGAGCTGAGACCGTTCAAGGCGCTCTTCATAAACCAGATATGACTAGATAAAGATTTAAACGACCAAACTTCAGGGTGTAGAGAATTGCATGAGAATTTATGATATTATAGAGATCCAAATCATTCCAGATCAAGATTTCAAATAGCTTAGGACTTCCACGATCCACAAAGAACAGCAATAGCAAAGTCGCAAAAAGAAAAAGAGCCTCAACCCTCTCCATCATGTTAATGAAAATCCAACCTCCATTTTTTCACTGCAAAGAATGTCATAGAAGTATACTGAGCGCCGATAAGGCATCTGCAGCTGTTCCGGCAGCAAGGCAGGGCTTTCCTTTTTCCATTTGAAAAGCTACGTGGGCGTCCCGTGCATTGGCAATGTCTAGACAGCAATGGTGCATCACAATTGGTATTCAGAGTTAGGCACTAGGAAGATCTAGTAAGCTCCCTTGAGTTGGATGCAAAGACTGCTGAGATGATCCTTAAAGATGAAAGATGCAGTTGTTCATCGTTTTTCGTTTTCTTGGTGGACATCCACCAATTCCACAGTGCAGGCAGCACACTTTGCCGTCGCGAGTAGGGCGCGGGCCTCAGCGGATATCTCCGACATCACCAACAAGATTGCCGTTTTGAACATGTTAGTGACGTTTGAAAAAGTTGAGAATTGAGAAATGTATTGCTTAAACTCGTGCACCAATTCCTTTTTTCACACTTTGTTCCTGACAGCACCAATGGAGCAGTGAATGAATTGCAAAAATCCAGCACGACTAATTACTAATTACGTTCCGGATTTTGATGAGCGAGACTCAACAAAGCACGCAAACATTTTACTTGCCTGAACTTGGCTGCGTTTTTTGCCAAAATTGCTTTCTGTCACAGAGTCTTGGTCCAAAGCTGGCCACTATGCCTGATTCAGAGTTGAACTATGCTCATGGGGAAAACGGTTGCACTTTGCCTTTTTCTGACAAAAGGTGACAGAGAGAGCGTTGGATATGCGTTGGATCAATATGTCAGCCATTTGTTCAAAAGATGCAGGTGAGAAAAAAAACACAAAAAAAAAGCCAAACAATGTATCAAACCGTCCAAAGAATCAAGTAAAACATGAGGGAAAAGGGAACAGCACCACTCCAGAAAAGCCCGAAAGGGGACGTTTCGAGGAGTTGCGGAGTTGGGCTTTTGTTAGGCTTCCATTTTTCCCAATTGAACATGCGTGTACTCTTCACGATCGAAAGCCTCAGCCAAGCGATACGCTGTCGGATCATAGATGACTAGATTTGAGATCGTTTGGAGTGATACGTTTGAATACGTTTGACACATTTGGTAAGAAGCAGCTGATACTCTAGCTTCTGCTACCACCATCCTGCTGGTATCGTTGATTGTATTCGTATGTTCATTAATGGTCTTCCATGCTGATTCTGGCAGAGACATTGAAAAGCATAACAAGCTCCAATGTTTTCATTGAATCTTTGCAGATGCGTTATTTTGCTCATGCAGGCGAGGTCCACTGGTTTCGACCTGAGAGCTTTTGTCAGCAGATTGTCCAAGGAGATCGCTCTAGCGACCTCAGCATCCTCACCTCTTCGTTAAAAGTTAAAACATTGATACTGTCGTGATGGATTGAGACAAGGCCAACCAAAAATGGCATATGGCCAGCGCGTGGGTGCCTCAATGACTTGAGCATTGTTTTGTTTCGAAATGATGTTTTGCCTGTGGATGAAGAGTTTCATTTTGGCGGCACCGACATTCGGGGGCACAGTGAGCTTGACTAGCCACTATCGCGTGAGTAGAAACTGAGATTGCCCTGCATGGTTGAGCAGGCCCGCAATGCCGTTGGTGCAGCCGCGGCAGGAGGCAAGGATCATGGGATTTGCGTAGATTGGGACTTAGACATCTTAGACGTTCTTGGTTCGCAGTTTTTTCCATGTTGGTCGGCATTGCTTGGGCGTCCATGCCTTATTGTGTTGAGATCAAAGACGCCAGAGGCAGTTGATTTGTGTTTGGCGACCACCTAGGAGGTGGATAGCGAGTACAGCCCGAGAGACTCTGTTTGGAAGAGGCATGGTGGCAGCTGGGATAGGATGGGATAGGTATTCCTGCTGCCATCATTCGGTCTTTTTCAAGTCTGCAAGCTCGTCCTAGAGATGGCAGCCATTGCTCTCTTGGCCTGACAGGTATTTCTGCAATGGACAAAAAGGCAGGGAGACTGATGTTGACATAAAAGCCCCGCGTTGATGGCATATTCAAAAACATTCAGAGGGTGCAAGAGCGCCAAAAGGATTAGATAGAACTTTGCAAGAGAAGACCCAGAATATCGCGAACATTGCAGAAACATTGCAGAAACCTGAAGCTCCCAAGCTCCTTGCGAGTGTCAATGTATTCGTGCGTCTTGCCATGTCTTGCCTATCTGTTCCAGTCGGCACCCATGATTTAATCAAGGTTTGTGGGACAGAGCGGTGTTTTGTGCATTCTGAATATCTAGCCGAATCTAGCCAATGACTTGACGAATATCATTTTTTTATGCGAGACTTGCCTCCTTGACCCCTCTGCAAGTGACTTCCACGCTAGGAGCTACCTCTCCCTCATCACAAAAGCAGGTGTCGGCTTGTCATTTTGTCGGCTTGCATAAATGAGAATTGAAAATCCACGTAGCCCACAATCTCACAAGTCCAGCTTCCATGTCTTGGGTCGAGACTGAGGGAAAGACCATAGAGGGCTATTGACTCCGACAATTGTCTGGCTTCAATTCAAAGCTCTCTTCAACACCCTTCACACGTACAAGCAGGATACAAGAAGTTTTCCTTGTGGGTTCGGATGGTCAGGCCAAAGTGTTTGGACTGCACGAACGCTCAGCAAATGTGGAGAAGCCGGTCCAAGTGTCATAAGCTTAGCTGGGGCTGCAACGTGTCGGTTTTCACATTGGTACACTTTTGTGACTTTTTATGCAGTGGCCAAAGCTTTCAGCCTGTTAGCTGATGTTAGTTGCGCATGCATTGTCAAGAGTTTGACATATTCTGGTCCTCATCCCGCAAGGCATAGGAGATGTGCATTGGACATGGATGGACATGGTACAGTTACCGCACATCCAGTGATCGTGGCAAGGGAGGAAGTAAAGCTACGGTCGCCCCTCCAAGAGGCCAGACACCACACGGCAGACTATGGCAGAGTCATAGTCTGCATTGTCTGCATGCTGGGACAAATGTCGTAGAATCTCATAGAGTTGTAAGGTGTTGTCAAATGTCAGTGTATGTCAGTTGTATATCAGTGTGATTTCTTCGTGGTGTGCAGTGATCCGCCCACACACGCGACGCATCAGAAATCGTCAGAATGTTCTGCTGCGCATCTGATTTCTCAGTGTACTCGACTGTATCTCGGTGATTCCCGGTGTCAGGAAAATCATGGCGTCGCTTTGGATGACTGTGCACAATCACAGCTGCTGGACACGAACACGCCAGGCTCTTGGAGGAACACAGTGATTTGCAATCTATGGTGGTATATGTCGTATTTGCGCATGCATTTTGAAGTACGGGTGCTGGTGTGAGTTATTAGACTCATTAGACTAGACGCTATCTATGATGCAATCTGTGACGCAATCTATCATGCAGTCTATGGTCATGCCATTCTTTGTCAGCCAAATGTGAGCAGGGATGGCACGAGGATTGCGCTGTAGTGTAGAGACTGGAGTGGATAAGTTCGCAAGAGGCGTGACAGAGTTACTAAGTCGACCAGGTCTGAAACTTGCGCCCATACTTATGCAGAAATTGAATGCAAATTTGCTGAATCTGTTCGTACAGTCTACTGGGTTCTTTGACAGTGGTGCCGTGCTGTACTGATTTACTTTCATGCAACTGTCCTTTTTTTCCATTGCAAGATCCATGCCGGTTGCAGACATTGCATGCCTAGGCCTCTAGATGCCAAAGCTGAGGCAACAATCTGTTAACTACTTTGTTGTTTGTTTGGTGTGCCAAGTTGCAGCAAAAGATGTAAAAAAACACCCTCCACATCAAGCAAATTGGTAGCAATGGTTGTCTGACCTTGCCTTTGGAGTACTTTGACTGTAGCGGAAACATATAGAAACGAGAGACCTTGCAATAGCATGTCACAGTGTGCTATCACAGCATGTTTCATTCTTTGCCATGTCCTGCCAGGAGGTGTCTCTTCGGACTCCATTGATCTCAGCTCAGACATACACACAGGTTGCAGAATGTCGCAGAGTACGTCTGAGCAGATCCCAGAGTTTTTTCTGGCAGTCACGCAGTCTTCTTGGAGAGACGAGAGATGACAAGAGCAGTGAAAATTCCACGATATTCTACGATGACTTTGCGAGAAGATGTCAGAGAGTGTATATAAGTAAGAGATAGTAAGAGTGTGGTCTAGGGATTTCTCTCATGAGAAGATCTTAGCACAAAAAGTAGCCTAGACTGCCTGAGTTCCATGCAATGTGTACGATAAAACATGTTTGGAAACAATTCACTGATTCGGAGCAAAACAGAACGAATTTTGTCTTTGGGTGGCAGGGGCCCGGTTCAACTCCCCCACCCCGTCTGCCTGCAAGCACTGTTCATGGCATGGTTAGTCTGTCTCGCCACATTTGGATGATCTGTGGGACAAGGTTGGGGTTGATCCAAGGTTTTCTTGGCTGGTTGAGAGGTGTTGGGCTTGTTGACTGGCTGCAGCGACACTTGTTGGACTCCCGCTGTACTGTTTCGGGTAGCTTGTCGGCGACGAGGGGTTGTGCCCAGGCAAACCTGTAAGTTTCCCTGGGTTTTTCTTTGGGTGGTTGAATTGTGTATTGTATGGCATTGTTTCTCAATGTTTCTCATGTGTGTCGCATCAAGGAGGGTTTGGCGAATGTGCTTGCCAGTCTGTTTGAGGTGTACAGTTGTTGATTCCAGCATGACACTTTTTATCGGGTTTCTCTTCCTCAGAATCCCAACTATCACTTGCCTCCATACCGGACAAATGTACCTAACGCGAGAATGTCCAAAACCTTCCAAAACCATTCTTCCGAATCTACCTTTCGCCCACCCCTTTCTTAAGACAAGCTGGAAGCCCATACACATGGCCCAAAGGATGGCACAAGCGGATACAAGCGGTGCCTTTGGGTTGGAATGGGTTGGACCCTATGCTCTGAGAATTGGATCTATCATTGATCTATCCGCTTTCCCGCTTTCCGGTGTCGTTTTATTTATGCATTCACAAGATTTCGCAACAGGGTCTGCCTGACGCAGAAGCAGCCAGGGAGTTATCATAGAAATGCGAGAGGAGCTGCCAGTTGCAAGTGACGAGGCCAATTTTTCTTCGCTTTCTCAGGTCACAGCAGTCGCGAGTGGAAGTGCGTCCAGAAAGTGCGGCTACCCAAAGTCAATGCACATGTCTCTTGCTGAGAGGTTTCATGGCTTGACATCATGGCTGTCTATCCCGTCTATACCTCGTTGTTAAGTCAGAGATAAGAAGAACCTGAAAGCATCGGACCTTCGCACATCAGCACAACAGAAATGATGCAGCCAGGCCGGCCTCAAAGATTGCATATGTTCTGGAAATAAACTGTGAACCGAGTTACAATTATATAAATAGGATTATTTGATATTATTTGCATCGATTGTAATGTTTATGAACCATTTTAGTCCAAGATTTTAGTCCAAGACTCTGTCTCCTTCTTTTGGAGACACCAAGGTGCAACAGCGGCTGTTCCCTCTAGGCGAAGAAGTGTTGAGCATTTCATAACCCAGAATGGGGGCAGACGTACGACCAAGTCAAACAATTTTGCCTCGGCTTCTTGCGGTGCCTTGATGATCTTGATGCAACTTGTTCTCGCTATTTACGCAATTCGATTGATTCGATTGCTAGACTTTCAAAGGTAAAGGGAAACAAAGGCAGAGTCCCCTGCTGAACATTACCTGCGATGACTTGAAACATGGATGACCATGGCAATTGTTTTGACCGCGGCAGAAAATTGAACGAACACTTTTCGTTTTTCACATCCATGTTACATGTTTTTCACTCTGCGATGTTTCCAGTGGCATTCACAAACAAGCACGCTTTCAGCATGTGCAGATGAATCCTTTCCTCTGGGTTTCATGCAAGTTCGTTATCGGAGATACAAAGAGAAATGTTGATTTGGGTGCGGGCTACCAGCCCTGCGATTTCTCGCGATTTACATTCAGAAGCATAGATAAGCATAGAGGCCATCCCGGCCCCCTGGAAAAGGTTGGAACAAATGCTTGCGGCATCTTGCAGCGCTGAGAGTTGAATGATTCAGAAACTGCAGGCCACCTGCCCAAGAGCGCTCAAGACAGCAGCAGACTCACTGGAGATGATGGGTGTCGGTGAAGTGCCAACTTGGGAAGGAGTCAAAGTGGATCAAAGTGGTACAGCCGAACTGCAGCAGAACTGCTATGTTATATATGTTTTGCCCGCCCATGTGAACTGAGCCTGGCACCTTCGGTTCCAACTCTTGCATCCCAACATATGTTGAGTGCCGTTTTTTTATTGTATTAAGTATCAGGTGAGTAATGTATATCACCTTGATTATTTTGATTTGCCCTTGTGGCATTTTTCAACCTGCACTTTTCAGGTCGCAAGCCCCGCTTCAGAACACAGAGCGCCTCGCAGTCTCTTGACAAGCAGTCGATATACTCGTACCATCTCATCTCTCGGAAGACAGACCGAGACACATGGAGACGCTATGACTCAAAAGGTTCTGAAGTCTGAACACTTTAAGATTTTTTGATACTTTTTGGATGTTGCAAGATTCAGCTGAAGCCATGCAAGTGCTGACGGATACAGGCAAGTCCAGCCGCTCTTGACGCATACACTGTATCATACACTACTCTACCAGGCAGTCAGCCCTCGCTGGATCCCTTCCTAGTGGAATTGGGCACATCAGGAAATCATCAGGAATCATGAATGGATTGGGCACATCTTATGTTCATTCTCACGGCTGGAGCGAACAGCAGTCCAATCCAAGGCTTGTGCAGAAAATGTGTCAGAAGAGGACGGCTGGTGGCGGTTCATGCTCAAGGGAGATTGATTGCAACTTGCTCTCGGCTAGAATTGAAACCCGATGTTTTGTTGTTTCTTCTGGGGGTCTTTTTGACCGTTGAAGGTGTTGTAGGACCGGGCTATGGCAGAACACTTGGGAAGTTTATTTTCTCCAAGGGTTGATTTCAGACTTGACTTGCATGCCCGCTCAAGCTGTCAGGGCGTTCTGCTTGCGGGAAACAAACTTTGAGCACAAGACTTCATAGTAACTATATACATGCCCTAGTCATGAAAACGTATCATGCTAGGTTGTCTATTAGAAATGTGCGTGTCTAAAATGGACCCAGTGTACACAAGACCTGGTAAGGTGCGCAATGAAGAGCCGAGAATTGCCACATTCACACGTGTGAGATTGTACTTTGTTTTTTGCTCAGCTTCTCTACGCCTTTCCTTGTTTTTTCACTTCCTTGCTGCGATGTTCCTCGAAAGCCATCGGCGGCGACATTTTTCTTTATTCTTTTCACGAAAGCTAGCGTCAGCTAGCTGGAGTCTTCTTGCTTTAGCAAGTATTGGGGGGGCTGCTCAAGGACATCACGTGATTTTTCACGCGAAAGGGGGGGACCCCCCCCCCTGTTTTTGTTTCGACCTAATACCTACATAGGTACATGCATGAGTATTGAGCACATTTATATGCGCCCTCAAGGCTCAAGAGGTATATAGAGTAACCCTGTAGACAAGCACGGACCGGCAACAGGCTGAGTAAAACAAGTGCTGTCATTGGGGAAGACGCCTTAGCTGATCTTGAAGTAGACGCTAGGGCCCCTCTTCAAGTGGTAGCGGAGCTGTGATCCCTCATTGAGGGTGAGCTCCAGGTAGAGCCCAAGAAATGGCAAGCCATGGCTATGATGATGATGACTTCGACATTGTCGATGCAAATGAATGGAACCAATATGACTCTTATGCAATGAGAAGAGCACCCCAGCATACACAGATTCATATGATGCAACAGATGACCACAAAGGTTGCTCCAGCCTATGATGGGCGAACCAGCTTCTTTGCTTTTGAGGATGCAATTGATGACTGGTGTGACATTACGGAGTTAGAACCAGAGAAACGTGGTCTAGCATTGCGCAACAGACTGGAAGGAGATGCTCAACAATACAAGAGGCTATTGGATAGAGAATTACTCAGGGATCCCTATGAAGGAGTGGCTTATTTCAAAAGATTTCTACGACCTCATTTCATCAAAGGTGCCCAGAACGTGTTCTTATACCGTTTCATGCAGTTCATGAAGTTCAACAGAGGAACCATGGATCTTCAGAAGTGGATGACTAGATTTCAACTCACTGGCAATAGACTTATTGAGTCTTGGATGGATTTACTTCCAGAAGTAACAGTGACTAGTCCTGAAGCAATCCTGTTTGTTCAACAACGACGTCAAGAACGTGAACGAGATCAACAAGAGAGAGCTGATGTAGCAGCAGCCTCAGGAACACCCCATGTAGCTGTTCCTTGGACAGATGAACTGGCAATAGCGGCATTCAGACTATTTCAGGAAAATCGTAGAGAAGCACAGCGACAAGCATTCCCATTGGGTGAAAATTTGCTAGCATTGATTTTTGTAAGTCTAGCTGACCTGAGTCAAGATCAGAGAAACACACTCACAAGTATCATGACACATCGTGGACGAACCCTCGATCGATACAACATTCAAGAACTACGTGACCTGTTTTTGGAAATGTTTTGCACTACCAAAACAGCAGTTGACAATCCATTGATGCAACCCTCTGGCATGGCACAGAGAAGATCTTTCCTCGTACTGGATGAAGGTGAATTAGAAGGAACCGACGGCTATTGGGCCGAAGATGAAGAAGACGGCGCAGAAGGATTCCTGGATGCTTTAGAAGATGTTTTCTGGGTTTATGATGACGCCAACTTCACATGGTATCAGAGAAGGTTCCAAGGCAAATACATCAGACGAGGCAAAGGTAAAGGAAAGAGAAAAGGAAAAGGAAAAGGCAGAGGAGGACGAAGATTCTTCCGATCAAGGAAAGGAAAAGGCCGAGGAAAAGGAAGAAGGAAAGGCCGTGCTCACATGGTGAGTGAAGAAGATTATGATGATGAATGGCAAGAAGATGAATGGAATGAAAACTATGACGGCTATTGGGCCGATGATCAAACCTGGAATGAAGGCTATTGGGCCTATGATGATTCATACTACATGGATGAGTATGGATACTTCCAGAGGAAAGAAAAGGAAAAGGAAAAGGAAAAGGAAAGAAAGGCAAGAAAGGCAAGGATGATGATGGAAAAGGAGGAAAGCCAGGAGATGGAAAAGGCAAGTCGAACTATGTTCAACCTCAGACCACATCAGCTCCTGCCATACAGAATCAACCAACTCAACAAGCTCATTATTCTTCTGCAGCTTCAAGTTCTGGTCATGGTTTCTTTTCATTTGGAACAACTGAACCAGCACGTGTTGATGTTGCAGAGACAGAGCCAGCACGTGT